AATGATAAAAATAAAATCTTCCATTAATTAAAAAGACTGTCGCTTTATGTGAAACTACAATATTGATTTCTTATTGTTAGATATAATTTAATTCAATTTAATATAAAAGCAAATAAGAGTAAATCGCGCATCTTCCATGATGATATGATTTAACTTACATTTAAATTAGACCTAAATTTGACAAATATTGTCGCTTGTTTAAATATAACTTGATTATTGACACTTGTAATACATGACAGAAACATCACCACATTATTTTTGCTATAATCCTTTTTTTTAATATTATTCCGATAAATTCAAAAATTAATTCCATGATTCGTCAGAGTCAATTCGAAACAACAGCGAACGCACTCTTGCATCGTTGCATTATTAATCATGACGCGCGATTGCACCCATGGCTTTGCTACATTTACTTGGCGGTTACGCCAAGACGGATTTTACAGGATACGAGAACGACAAAGGACCGCACGGTCGATCGATAACAACCTCGTTGAGAAGCTCGCCTGGAAAGCAGTCAAGCGAGAGAGAAGAAGATCGAGACGGGGCTGAGCTCTCTTCGATGAAAGACTTTCTACGCTGGATTTGCGCAAGTTGCAATCGTCTAACGATTTGTTGGAATGCATCATCAAAAGTGCCTGATCCAAAGTGCGCAGAAAGTTTCATAGAGAATTCGAGCTGCCCATATTCTCGTGAATAAATATAATTTATCATTAAATAAATATAAATTATCTTGTCCATCTTCCTTGATTCGCTTAATGCTTATGAAGATTTTAACTTGTTTATTCGTATTTTATCATTTTAAATATGATAAAAATTTTATTATTATATTACTCCTTCAAAAAAGCATTTCAATTTAGACATATCTTTCTGACAGTTGACAGAAAAATAGTATTTTATTTTAAGTGGTAAAAATATCGAAATGTCCATCATAATATAAACATTTTAAACGTCGGTCTCTTTCTTATTCGTGGCCACTGTCAGAAATTGAGCGATTTCATTTCCACCTATCCTTGGAACGACTATCTCCGGATTTAACACATTGCCTCCCAGGATAGCAACATCTCTAAGTTTCCATCCCGTCGAGCAAGATCGATCCAAATTTCTCGTATGCATGTATATGTATCTATTTTTCTTATATACATGTGTAAATCAATATACTCTGTATATATGCGTGTGGAAACTTTATTTCTTCGCTAAAGATAAACAAAGATTGCGGACAGAAATCTTGAATAATTATTACCTCAAAAAAATTAATTGTTTCGAAAAATATATGAAGTACTCGAGCAATAATAAAGTGATCGTTATTTCCCCAAGAAAACTGACCGCGTGCCTCCACCCTTGCCTCATTCCTTGGTCGAGATCGATCTGCGGGTACAATGACCCCAAGAAAAACCAAGACGATGTACTATATAATTAAGACTATGTAGTTCTTGCGATTGAACGCTTTACACCATCGTCTACTTGAAAATTGATCGCAGATTTTTTGCTCAATCTGATTTCATGGTCATGAATACTTCAATAAAATTATACAATTATGAAAATATTAATACCGGCTTTTTTAGCTAAAATCTGACTCTAACGTAATAATTTACTTATATTCAAATTTTATAAAACATTATATAAAAGATAAATTTTAGCTCGCTTTTTAGAAAAATAAGATAAACTATTATTTAAAATTTATTTTTTAACTTTATTATAAACTTATCAATTAATTTTAGTTTTTAAGATTATAACTTTATAAAATAATGCAGCGCATATATTTTAAATAAAGATGAGTATACTTTAAATAAAGACACCAAATGAATAAAAATTATAAAAATGAAAAAAATTATATTACACGAATCAATAATATATTTTTTTAGAATCTTTTTTTTAAATTTTTCTTAATATTCAATATTTTACAAATTTTTAAGAAATTTTTGTTAAATTAGTTTTATTATAATTGCATAAAAATCAAGTATTATGCATATAAAATTTCTTTTAATTAGATACGTGCATATATAATGAAAATTCCAAGTTATTATGAAACATTGTTCTAAACATTAATTGAAACATTTCTCTTAATTAATGTTTATGAATTTTCCGATTGATATTGCAATTATAACTGAATTGCAATATTAATATCCATCAAATACAAGATAAAGTAATTTTCATATTATGAAAATACGCCTGTTGCAAGTGTTGTAGGGTTGACTCGATCATTAATAGGATCTTGCCTTCTCTCTAAGAGGGGCTTCTTTTAAACTCCAAACTTCCTTCTTACTTTTCCCTTCTTCGATTTTCAACTTTGTTCATGTCATCTTGATAAAATATTTACATAATATTACGTAAAATACGACGTAATAAAATATTACGTAAATAAAATATTTACGTAAATAAAATATTTACGTCATATCTTGATAAAATATTTATATTCTACAATTGAATAGTTATTGTCACGTCTTTAATAATATTTAATGCGACAGATTGCTTGAATATTTTAATATTAAATATCTTTGAATATATCGTAATCTCTCTCTCTCTCTTTCTCTCTCTCTCTCTCTTTTCTTATTCGTCTACTAATAAAATTGATAAAAAAATTTAAGCACTGATTGTAAATTTTATTTGTATTTTCATCAAACGACTAAATGTTAAACGACACTTCTTGACGAAGTTATGAGCACTTATTCACTTTGTTCGATTTTTACGTTCCGTGAATATGCATCAAATGTATACGTTCGAAAATATTGCCAATTCTTTTATTTCTTGCATTTTATTCGTGATATTTCATGTCACATAAATGTTTTGTAAATTCTACTAAAATGAATATGGCATGTTCAAAATATTCATAAAAAATGTGTAGTATTTAATCACTTCTTGATAAAAATTTAATTAAAGTTATAATTGCGCATCAATTCTTTTATTAATATAAAAATTTAAGAACTCGATGAATAAAACTTTAAACATAAATAGATAAGCAATTTTAATATAAATTGAAATTTATTCTAATTAAAATTTTTGAGATGTAGTTATCAATTTAACGTTTAAAACTAAATAAATAAATATACAACATGAAATTTCTACTAACAAAATAAAATTTACATTAATAAAACACAATATAGAATAATAAATATTAAGATAATAATAAGACGAATTTTTGCATGCGTATTATTTGCGGAAATTTATAGGCAAAAAATAGAATTTAATCACAGGGCGAACAGATCACGCAGAGACATTGGATGATTAAGGGGGAAATGACGTTGCGCATGCTAGAATGCAATTCCCTGCCTTCCCATCTCATCCTCCATAACATCGCATAGCACTGATGCCATGCACGCCAAATCAGGTCAATCGGTAATATTGAACATATTGGCTTCCGTAGGAATATTCGTTCGCATATGTTCGTTGTAGTATGCGATTCTCCCGTGCAATCAAAAACACTTGATGAATAAACTTTTACACGCATGTAAACATTTCCTGCAACAAAGCGATTGTCTTTCTTTATACCACAAAACGTTGTATTGCGTTCTTTTTCGTAAATCTCGTTATCATATACCGTATATTGAATAACAGATTGTATAATATTTTATATAGTAATTTCTATTTAAAATTAAATTTACTGTCGCTTATTCATGTATGCATATTCGATCAATATATATTTTACTGTCACGAAATGAAAAAATACAATTGAGAATTTTTATAACTCTGGAAGTAAAAATTAATTAACTTTTCTCTGATTTAAACTTATCATCACATAATGAGAAAGATACAATTGAATATTTTTATAAATTTTAGAATTGTGATAATTAATTAATTTTTTTCTGATTGAAAATATCACAAATATGTCACAACCAAAAGAAGACACAATAGAGGATTTTTATAAACTTGAGAACTAAAAATTATAATTACTTTTTTTCTGATAATATACAAATATACAAATACTTAATATTTATTATTGTTACTTAATATTTAAATTTTTTTTGTATTTTTTACATTTTTTTTTATTTTTTATTGTTTTAAAAATAATCCTCTTGAAAAAGAAATGTTTTACAATAAAGAAGTATGCGCATAAAAAAGCATTCGCGCATTTACATATTTCCTTTCTTTTTATATAAAATATACAATGAAAAATATATTATTTTTTCCCCAGGAACACACAAAGTCTCTCTGAATCTAGATAAAATTAAAACACTCGTCGTTAAATCAGCGTGACGGGAAGACGTGCGTTGCATGCACAAAGTGTTTCATCAACGAGACAACACGTCGGTGTGCAACACAAGCGTTTGTTAATCTGCTACACCAGAGTACAGTCGGAAATCTTTCTTTTTTTTTGCGACGCGACTTTTGTCCACCTACGCGCTTATGTCGCCGGCGTCATTAACGATGTCTAACGAGCCGAGACCAGAGAATCTTGGTGGAACACAATACCACTCGAGTCTACCACACATTTATACGAGAGTAAAAGATTAATACGACCAGAACAAACAGCAGTGTTTTCACTGTGTAATACAATTGTCGATGTAACGATGCGTGCACAAATAGACTTGTTTTTTACTAATATTTCAAGCGAATACATCATGCAAATAGCCAAACTCTAAAAGTCTTTATCGCGTTGAAATATATTTCAACATTTAAAAATTTTAAAAATTCATGCATTTACGATATTTCATATAGGAATGGAATAATTTTAAATCCAAAAATATTTGAGACATTTTATCGTTACATATTGTATAACAATTATTATTATAATCGTTCCAATTTCTACCAATATTATTTCTATTAATACATTTATTCTATTAATATCTTTATTAATGTTTCCATTAGTTCTTTTCTATTTTTATTTAAAATTTAGGACAATTTAAAATTCAAGAAACAACGGGAAATTTCAAATAAAGAATGAGATAAAACTTTTTATATTTAATTTCTTTTTATAATATCTTCATTATATATTTACTTTCAATAATAAATTAAAAACATAGATTATCATATTTATAGTCAATTATGGATATTTTTTATTACAGAAACAAAGCATGATGGTCCGTCAACTGGAAGAGGAGCTTAGAATGAGAATGCGCGGGCCGAACGTTGAAATACAGCAGCAAATGGAAGTTTTGTATAATGAGAACGAGCATCTGACTCGCGAAATCGCCATACTTCGTGATACAATAAAAGTAAGTAAACATTAACATGAATATTAACATCTAGATTATTACGAGATTACTTTTTCTCTGAGCCATAAAGTGGATTTAAACTGATCTCTTTTTACTGTGACGCAAAATTATCTCTCTAAAATGACGGTGTTATAATCCTGTATTTTCTGCTCCTGATTGAATTTTTCCGAGGGAAAATTAATTTCCGGCCGCGCGCTTGTAAGATTAATTTTAACCGGCGTGACCGTAGGTCGGTTTTCCGCGTCTTATGTCGAAAATAATGCAGCCATGGGCTTGAAATAGAATGGCGCACGCCATCGCGAATGTTTTCCGCATTTTCGAGAAGAGAAATTCCATTATAATTCAAAAATAATAGGGGTATAATGCGATAAATGGGAAATAATAGGAATATAAATGCGGTAAAAAAAGTGGAGATTGCCATAAGGAGATTAATGCACAAATTTGAAAATGCTATGAATTATCTCTCGGATTATCTTCTTTTTTTTATTCTTGTTTTTCCTCTTTCACCGACAGCTCTGAAAATGTACTCGACGTGAACATTTTTGCGCGTGACTGCCAGATATATTATATATTTTCACATTATTTCTTTCGATTTTCTGATATTGCTGCAGACATCTGTCATATGCTCCAGCATTTCTATTCAAGGAAAATATTTTGGACTTGTCCAATATCTTCTTCGAATATTTCGCAAATTTTAATCATATTTTGTTTTATATATATCTACGAATTTTAATCTTTTTTATACAATGAATTATTTTCTTTTGTTTTAAAATAATCGGGAGAGGATAACGAATTACAGTTATTTTTCAAAACAATCATTAGTAACAGCGATTTTGATTTTTATAGTTTTATTAAATTTTTTCTCGTTTTTCTTATTAATAGTACTTTAATTATTAATAATATATTAAAATTCTATTGAAATTGTAGATACAATTGATACTCTCTTAAACTGAATCAGTAAAAATGTCACAAAGCAATAAAATTTCATCAAAGATTAATATTCCATTAATTTTTAATAAAAACGCTCATACTTTTTTCTCTTTTATTTTATTAATTGGCAGTAAGATTTTAAATAGTAGTAAAATTTTATTGAAAAATCCATCATTATTGCTTCTCACTTCTCAGTGAAAAGAATCTTTGCAGTGTTATACATGTAACTGGAGCCATATCAATAATAATGCATCGATTCTATTTAATAGCGTATATCATTGATTTATTTAAAATCCATTCAGAGTATCTATTGATGAACGCGCATAATGAATGCAATAAATTTCTTCGCGAAATATTCCATCTGATGGTATGTGCCCGTGGTTTATTGACTTCGCGTATACCATGTGGGCCTGCTTGAACCGAAATAGATGAACGATTTAGATCGTGAGCGAGGTAAACGACCGATTGTCTGAACGAACAGAATTGTCTGACCACAACCAGAATGTTTTTAGAACGCAAATATCAGTCTCTTCTTGTGGTAAATTCATTAGGTCTATCTATAACGCTATGAATAAGCATTGTCGATATACTTTGTTCGCAGCACATAATTATTTAATCAGCTCCTACTTAAAGAGCGTGAATATTTTTAGAAAAGATATAAATATATTATAAAGATATTAATTTTTGTTTTCTTAAAAAAGTCAATACATTAAATAAGCATATTTAAACCAGTACAAGTTATGGCACGGTTTTTTGTATTATCTAATACTTGAAGTACATCATATATTTTAAATAAAAAATATTAAAATTATTTTAAAATAAAAATATTTTTTATATAAATATTATTATTTTTAATTTTAGCAACGCTTTCATGCGTATATCTTTTTATTTAGTGAAAAACTACTTTTAGTACATATTACTTATTAATAATTTTTACATTTAATATATACAAAATTAGATCAATTTCAAGTATATTTTATATATCAAGTATATTTTATTCTTATTGCAAGATAAAAAGAATTTATAGTATATAAATACGTGTGCGCATGTGTACAATTTGCCTTGTACATGATTATTTAAAGAGACAATTTAACTGACTAAGACATTCCACCAGGAAGTAGTTCATTTTAATAAGAAGCAGAGGGATATTTGTCCATAAGCTTAAACTGCCTCGACCTAAATATCGCAGACAGGTCAAATGTACAACGTACGCGGAGCAACTGGTCGTCTTTGGCCATTCGCCAGTTTATGCACTCGATTTCTCGTCTTTCCGTAAATTCTCGTTACTATCAAAATCAACACGCGTCCGACCGAGTTTATCGTTATTATGAAGTCCTTAAAATTTGAAGTGTCCGAAATATCTTAATGTAATGTATATGCGTTTTTGTTTCACTCCATCCTCGATTCAATATACGATTTTATATACAAAGTTATGCGATAGGGCTAATTATTTAAAATTTAATTTTTTAATAATGTAGTAATTATAACTTGTTTTATAATGAGGAAAAGATATCTACATATCTACAAATTTGTGATTAATCTGTTTAATTTTTTATTAATTTGTATATATTCGATACGTTTTATAATTTCATTCTTATAAGATTATTATAGTTCTTTGTCGATAATATCAATAATAATATATCGAGATAAAATTAGATTAACAGTAAATGCAGTATATATTTTTTGAAATACTATTAAACAGAGATGCATCTATATGATTATATAAAGGTTTCTAAAAGTTTTTATTAAAAAAGTTTGATTAAATTAATTATCAGATATCACTTGATGTCTCTACCGTAGAATTTTCACGTTTTTACAGCGTGCGCTATTGTCCAAGCTCTCAGATAATATCGTACGCGAATGTTCTCGCACAGCAGGAAAAGACCGGTAGAAGACCAGCAGCGGGCGTCTAATTCCAGACTAATTACTTTCCTGCCATCAAAGAGACGCGCTAAATTTGTTACATGGGCGTCAAGCGGGTGACACTATTCGCCGTTGATTTACACATAAGAAGAGAAATGTTCTAACACATGAATTTATCATGTATAGATAGCATATATGAGAAACGCGTGTGCTTCGATATAAATGTATATAAATTCACGTGCTCAGACATTTCTATCCCCATATATACGCTCGAGTATGTGAAAAGGTTACAGAGACATTATCGATTTTTATAAAAATAATCCCGTACAAAGTACACGAAATGTCATAAAAATAGCTTCTTCGTCCTTCGTTGCAAAACAGATTTCTATTACACGATTGAAATGTTAATCTTTTTTTAGATGCTGACAATAATAGTAAATTATATATCTCTTCTCCGACCTGTCAAAGTTTGTATTTAATGTATCTTTGGAAAACATATGATATATACTTTTGTAAAACTTCTCTGCAAATCACCGAAAAATATTTTAAAGAGAAATCTTAAAAAAAAATCGAATTCTCTTAAATTTATTGTAGAATCTTTTCAAATTAATTCTTGATAGATTTAGATCATCTCGCGTACAAAAATGTGAAAAGTTTATAAAATAATGCCAATTTTTTTAAAGTATACATATGTGTATAATCGAATTTACATATTTAAAATAATGGATTTATAGAGAATATTTTGAAAGCACTGAGATCACATAGTTTCATTGTTGAATGTATGTATACATTATGATTTATATATGAATACAATAAATTTCAAAGATATCTAAATTGATATTGATTGTCGTAACTATGCAAAATTTCTTATGTACAATTAGGAATTATCGAACATGAAATATATAAAAAAAAATAATTTTTTTTTAATAATTTAATCGAATTGCAAATATGAATGAAAAAAATAATTTTTTATAAACAAAAATTTTTGCGAGTTTTAAAATAATGATAAATTGCGTAAAAAATTAAAATAGCGATCGTGAAAAAATAATATTTTAAATTATTCTAATTTTCTTATTATTAATTATTGATCTTTTTCTGTTGCAGGAATTGGAATTAAGAATAGAAACGCAAAAGCAAACGCTGCAGGCTCGCGATGAAAGTATCAAGAAGCTCCTCGAGATGCTCCAGAACAAGGGGATGGGTGAGACATTGCTTGCAAATTTCTTTAAATTATTTTAATTAATTATTTTTCTCGATATTTTATTTTATTAAAAAAAAAACAGATGTGACCATAAGACCGATTGGATCCTTAAAAAAAAAATTAGATTGAATTGAAAATGGATTTAGATTTATTATTATTATTATTATTATTATTATTATTTATTATTATTTATAATATCGAAAATCGATACATTATAATATGCATGATTTTAATTAAGTATACATTTTATGATAAAAAAATAACAAACTATGATAATCCATATTAATTGTTGAATTTTTTTAAGGATAATATAATTATAAATTGAAAAATCATAATAAAGAGATTAGATACTAAAATAAATTAAATTAATTTAGCAAATTAATAAAGTATTTATTTTAATTATAAAATACATAATATCACGGAAAATATCTGCATCAATTCCAAATTGGCTTAAACAAGAGAAGCGGCAGTAGAAATGGTAAAATTCACAATAATTAAATTTTTACTTTAGATTTATACATTTTAAACAATTTGAGATTTATTTTTCGCTTGATTTCCCATCTTATGCATTTTTCTAAAGAAGTGTATCTTTTTCGCTAACAAGTTTTTATCTAAGTTTATACGAAATAAAAATTAAGTAATATTTTGTTAAATATCTAGATTCGTAAATAAGATTTTATGCGGCAATATACATAGAAATTCAAATAAACTTTGTAAAGTTAATAGCTGGTTTGCAATGAACAACACCCGGTATTTTACTGGGCATCCTTCTTCAACGAAGAGAAAACCCAATTTTGTGTAACGAATTTTTCGCGTAAATACTCTCGTTCGTCTCAACGAAACACCATAAAGGTGGATCGAATTATCTCGTTAAATTCGCGGACCGTAACTCGTCTAAGCGGGCAAATCTATTCTCTTTGAGAACATTATTGTAATCTATATAAACTTGCTATGAAAATAACAATACGAATGAGAAGTCATATCGAGAGAATACTAATTTTACAAAATAGTTCTACGGAGAAATACAAGAATACTTTAAAAAGTTGGGAAGATTGGAAAAATCACTTTATAATCAAAACTTTTTAATTTAGGACATAATTATTATCAAAATAAAATATATTATTTGCACGTGACACAAGTGAATATTCCAAATGCACTGCACTGACATATCGAAACATTTTTTCTATTTTATTTATTTTTATGAAGAAATTAATATTAAGAAAGGAAAAAAATTATTTTTATTATATAATATTTTGTTTTAATATTAAATATATATTGTATTTAATATAAAATTATTCTATTTTCTATTATACTATAATTGCAAGAGACCTATAACTAATTATATACATTCTACTAATTAAACTGCATAATTCTATTAATTATTATACAAATAATATGTAGAAATAGAGCAAAATTAAAAAAGATTACGCGTGAGCAAATTACTGCGATAATTAGATCTCTATTCACACATACAAGTGCACATACATACACACACACACACATTCATAATTACACCGATGATCCGTGAACCTGGAACCAAGCAGTTCCCCCAAAAGTTCCTCGTTACTTTCTGCTGTTTTAGGAAAAGAGGAGGAAAGGATCATGTTCCAACAAATGCAGTCGATGGCCCAGAAGCAGGTCCTTAAGCAATTTCTATATCCGTGTCGCCATACATATATTCATAATTAAATTTAAATGTATATATATGTGTATATATGTATACATTTATATGTATTGCGTATATATGTATATACATATATATCTGTGTGTGTCACTCATATTTCGATCAATGCTCATTATGCATTTTAACGCATATGTATATATATATATATATATATATATATATATATATATATTTATTTATTTATCTATTTATTTATATTAATCAATTCTTAAAAAAAAATTTGCCTATACTATCATATACATATGTATATATATATATATGTGTGCGTCAACATTAATCGCTATTCATTATTCTGTATGAGTAGTCTGCTTGCAAGTAGTTTGCAGTTATTGCACTGCCAGTGGCTTTACTTTTCGCCCCGTGTTATCGTGCTCATGCTTGAACTTCTATGTCACTTGATCTGAGAAAATAAAAAAAAGAAAAAGGAATAAAAAACCGGGACAAAAGCAAAAATGAACAAGCGAGCGCCAGGGGGTGAGTGGAGTAACCCTTATCCTTATACAGACGGCCCATTCTCGATTCAGGGACCACAACAGGGTTTTGCGAACCTCTCCGCCCGTCTCGTGCGACTCGACTCGATCATTGCCCCTAAAATCGATCGGGTTCTCGCGAGCGGAAGTGTTCTCCGTTCTGTGTTTCGCAATAAGAGCGAGATTAAGGTACGGTATACATGCAAGATCGGGGGCCGGTGATAGGCAGAGACGGTCGAAGCTACTAACGCAACGGCCTCGATCAACAGACATGGAAATCCGCAGATTTAAAATTTAGAATGCGACAACGCAAAAATCTGATTATTAAACGAGAATGCGAAGATTCAAGGATTCCAAAGACTTGCGCAGAAAACGTTCGTGGATCTTACAAATATTTAAAAATTTTCAACTTTTAAAATAGCTAAAAATTTAAAACAGAATAAAACTAGAATTTTATAATAAATATGAAGAAAAATTTACACACACGAGAGTTTGAAATATGTAAAATTAAAATGAAAAAACTTTCCATGAAGCATTTAAGAATCCAATAATTTTGATGGTTCGAATTCATATGTTCAAAGAAATCAAAGATTTATGTTTATGATAACAAAATCAATTTAATATCATATGATATACATAATTAGTGAAAACCAATTGTTCTAAATTGTCTTAAATTTCGAGAAAAAACATTTATGTATTTCGATTGTATTACAACTAGGATTGAAACAGCACTTGTATCAAAATTTAATTAACGACTTATTTTTTACGCAATTTCTATTATTCTGTGTTATTATTTAAAAATTTACTTGAAAAAAACAGAAGATACGAAGGAAGAAGTAAATTAAAGGGAAAATCGATCTCTCAGAATATTACATCAACTAAAATATATCTTTTTTCGTGACTTTTATTCAACGCACGTCGTTATTCGAAACTACTTCGATGCATCTCGAACCAATTTGCATGTTCTGTTCATTTCGAATTTTTTAACATTTTTCTCCCTGAGGAAAAAAGAAAATCGAATCAAAGGGGAACTGGAAAATCGACGCGTTTTACATCACTACTCGACAACCTCACACATGTATTATACACGCGCGTATAAATGCATACAGACACATGCAAAACATACACACATCATACATACATCCCTCGTCTTCCAACACGCACGCACATACTCGCACCCTCGTTCGCGTTCAATGTGCACGTAATCGCAGGTTTACTTTTTCACAAGTGCTTCGATCATGCACTTTTTTCTTCGTGTCACCGTCGCAAGAGTTTTCAAAAATTCACGCCCATAAACGCAGTGATGTACTATTCCTATTTTCATTGCGAACGAAGATTGCGGAAATTTCTGAAAAATAATCCGAAAAAGAGTTCGCATCGTTTTTCTCAGAGGCATCTGTCAAGTCCTCGCTTTGCTTTATCGCTGTTGCTTTATCGTCTCGTTTACCTTTATAGAATTTCGATATCTTCTAACGCCGCATGTGGATCCTGACATCTCTCATAAACTTATATGATAGAAATAAAATTCGTGAGACAATATAAAAAGTCGAGAAGAATCTTGACTACTGAGTTTACAGATTATGTCACAATTAGCACTTATAAATGTTTAATCAAAATTGGAATAAAAAATCGTATTTTGACCAAAATTACATAAGGCCATGTTACAAAATATCAGCCATTTCTATTGATACAGTATTTCTATATATTTCGACCGAGTACTATTCGCTTGACTGAAAATTTGCACATGTCTCGGTGATATTTGTCAACAAGATCGCAGGGAAAAGTCCTCGCGTTAAATCCGACATTTCCAGGAATGGTACAAAAATCCGTCAACGTGAATTTTTGAAGCATCAATATATATAAATTCCCCATATCGCTTACTCTCACTCAACAATTGTCGCTGCTCAACTGTATCGTCATATAGCGAAATTTGAGCGCATTTGTACTGACTGTTAACGTCGTAAAAAAAAAAGTTTCTCAGAGTACTGCCACCGTTACCAGCATCACTGTCATGTGTTTTGCTCTGCTCTTCACGCAATCCATGTCTTTAGAGCAGACGTAGTTCATATACATTCCCGAGATACGTTTTCACGTTTATAGCGCTCTACCTTTATTTATAGTTCGTTCTTGGTATGGATGCGAAGTCGTTCGAGAAATTCACTACTATTTCGCTTATAGGGTTACTACTTTTCCATTTTGACCCACTTTCACGACGCGTGATTTATATTTACGTTTATATTTTTCGATTCGTACACTTCTTTGCGAAATTTATATTTGCTGCGGTCTTTTTGTAATTAGTCAAAATGATCAAGTATTAATGAGTATATAATTCATATATAATTCAGATTTTATTAATATATAAATAAATTAATATATATAAATATTAATATATAAATCTCTCTTTTCCCTGAAATTGGTTCTTTCTGAAATTCGGTTTTAATAAATTTTAATGAATTTGAGAGAGCAAAAAGTATAAATTAATATTTTACTTAAATAAAATATTTTTGAAATAAAAAGATGATTAGAAAATTGAATATATGTGGCTCAAAAAAATTTCATTGAATCATAATCAATTGCTATAATTAACATTTTTAACGAACAACATCGCATTCGCTACTTTGCTCGGTCTCCTTGCACTCTCGTATTATGCCTGTTAGATTTAGGACCTAGACGGAATCAATATAGCTTGAGTGGCACTCGGGAGCGATTTGACAAAACGAAAAATTGACAGATCCGTTTCCCTTCTTTCCGGGTGTAATTTCGAGCACGAATTGGACGCAGCAAGTACGTCCATTATATTAGAGCCATTAGAGCCATCGCACAAGAAATCTTCACTTCTTCTTCTTCTTTATTTCTATCGTTCTTTCATTGAAAAACTACCGCGCACTATTTTACTCTGGCTCTTCCCTTCTTTTCTCCCTCTAAAAATGTACCTTGCAATCTTCGAACAAATTCTCTTGCGTGAACAATTGCACCAGCATCAAGGCCTGTCTCGTTGTTCATTGTATCGACAACTTAGCAGCACGAGCGTTGTATCATGTTATCACTACTATACCTTAGTCCAATTAGTCTTAACCGATTCCTCGAAATCCTTCGATAAGTCCTTCGTGTTCTACACGGAGATTAAAACCGGTATAATCTCGGCAAGAATTCGAAACTCGATAGAGACAGTGGAAACATGATAATATTGTTGTACCTTTCCGTGTTTGGATTGATGTAGCAAATTCAATTACGATAAAATTTTAATTATTATTATTTTCAGTTCTATAATTAATTGCTTATGCTATTATTACCGAGAAATAAAATTAGCGCGAACGAAATGGATACTATTATCTTTGATAGAATATTCTAAATTCTCGAGAGAGAAATAACGCGCATACGAATAGCATACTCTCAAATATGTCGCATAGTCTCAAACATGTAGAAGACGTTCCGATTAGCTCGAAGAAGCAGGACACATTCGATGCCAAGAGGAAACTACTCGGTTCAATTTCCTCTCTTTTCACTGCGAATTTCTCTGGGCATAACCCGATCTCTCAACGCGGTAAATGCGCGCGCGCAATTAATAGCTGCAATCTCGTTGCACGTAATTAATTGCCGTAATTCAAGTAAATTCTTCAAAATAATGTACCTTAGATATCTTTCAAGAAATTAATTTCTCAAATTGAGGAAAGGGAAAGAAAATTAATAGAATATAAATCTATGACATTTTTTTAAACTTTTAAAAGTTCAAAGTAGATATGTTAACAAATTTTATTTTTTTAAATGTTGTATTTCAATTTATTTCATATAATTTTTTCATGTAATTATAATAATTATAATTAAACAATTATAACTATATTATAATTAGTGAATAGAGTAATAAGTTTATTACATAAGAAATAATGTAATTCGCAAATTTAACTTGTATATTTTATTATAATTATATTTTTTTGTTATCACCTAAATTTTTTATCAACAAAAATTATGAAAAGAATCAAACAATTATTTCTATTGTAATACTTATTGAAATATACTTTCGAAAAAGCATGAAAACAAAAAGTAGAACACGTAATCCTCAATATTTCACTAATCCCATATGCAAAGCCACATATTCTCCTCTGCCTTTTTCTTTTTGCACCATACGTCGAACAATTCAAAAATGATTCGTCCACGATCTCTTTATTCGATGACCTCGGCAAACGAGATAATTTATCTAACAATTAACTTTCTCTAAACAATAATACAAGCCGACATATATATTTAAAAAAATAAACATATTTAAAAAACTTACACTAACAAAGCTAAATTACGTGATTTGTCTCATTAATCTAATTTGATAGATCAGATGTTAGATGAATCATCAAATTATATGATACGTCGCCGAATCAGCGAGTCATTGGACGAATCGTATAGCTACCGCTACACGATCGATAACAAGAACAAGACCGTAAAACGGTCGATCGTAAGAAACGAACGAACGAGCGGTATGATTAAATTCAAGA